TGACACAGGTGACAATAATCAGACAATCAATACAGACACAAGGGAGAACAGACAGGGGGAAGGCCCACTAGATGGTGCCATCCCTACAGAAAGAGGGCACATAAAGGACATGCCTCCGTTGGATCCTCACGCCGATGCGTTTGTTCCAAAAGAAAAAGTTCATGTTACAAATCTTGCATCTGAGTCACCTGTCGTCAGACCTAAACAAAGACAGAAATGGATGAGATGATGGTAAAAGTTGATGCCTCAGCTCAAGCAGAAACACAGCAAACACAATTTCAATCTCCTCCTCTGACCCGAAAACTGTCAGAATGATCTAAAAAAGTTAAATCTGGTGTCGCGGAAAATCAACACACCAACTCAGACTTTTCAGTCTATTTACCTGTTCCTCTCATAGGTTCGGAGATATATGGAGAAAAGACACAATGATCAGTCAGAGAGATTCAAGTTAAAAGTATTACCAACATTTATTAAAGCTTTCAGCAGAAAGGAGAAGCTCTTACCCCACACCAACAGATACAGCAAAGACGCATCTGAGCTGAGTTTCAGCTCCTTCTGTATTTAAGCACAAAAACTACACCTAGAGACGTTTCACAACATTCTTTCAGTTCTTTGTCTAAACTAGTTCCAACTGATGTCTTCATCTTGGAAGTCCTTTTATGGAGTTGTTTTTACTTCTTCTGCCGTTCCAGTTACTGGTAATCTTGTCATCAGCGTGGGACACACACCAGTCGCTCCCTCGTAGTTCATGTCCCATACTTAATGAACTTAAATGCATCCTTTTACATGAGTCAGTACAGTTCATACACAAAGTAACAAGTACATGTAGATAGAAAAAAAAAGAGCAGATACAGAAGCCTCACAGCAATAATATATCACAATGGTAAGAGCGTCTTTACATTTTCCCCCTTTTGGTCTCTGAAAGAGACCATTACACTTGACTGTCTAGCCCTGAATAGGTATACCTCTGCATGTCCTGGAAACCCCACTGAGGCAGCTGTTATTCTAAGGAGGAAAGTAGGACATCACCTCACGCCTCTTGTGACAATGACCATTTCTGGCCCAGACTCCACCTGTACAGGAAAAGAAACTTTCCCTCACTCATATATCTTAATAAGCATGCAACACTACAGCAGGAATGGACATTTCAGAGCAATTTCAAAACTAGCGGGATCAATCGGTGTCCTCGAGCAGGGGTACGCTGGCCACTAAGGACAATTCTACGTCACGGCCCTTCTGGTTACACATTTGATAGGGTGGAGGACGATCGCTGCAGCCCTTCTCAATCATTGAGGTGATGAATTGAACTGCCAGCGAGCGAAAGCAGGGCACACAGCAACAACCACAGGCCACCATGATCCCTAAGAAAGTAGCCACAGACACTAACAGAGAAATTACCAATGTTTTCAATTTACCAAACATGCTTGTAAACCATTCTTAGAAGGGGTTCTCAATGCCTGAGTGTTCGTGCATGGTCTTACTCAGTCTTCTCAGTCCCTCCAGTGCTCTGGTCACCGATCCGTCCAGGGCAGTGTTGTTAGGGATGAAAGTACAACATTTTTCTCCAATCATAGCACAGGCTCCCCCCTTTTCGGCTAATACCATGTACAGTGCCATGCGGTTTTGTATGGCCATCAGAGAGGTTGGTCCTAATTGCTCAGCCAGACCCTCTACAGCATCTCTAGTTAAGTTTGCCAATCTTAGTACATTATAATGTATGTAATTAATCCTATCAATGTTCTTTTTTGGGGTGACTGAAAAAACTGCATTGATTATGGGGATGTTTTCAAATCCTGCTTCTATTTGATCAGCTAACTTATATTCATTTGGGACTCCCCTCTGGACTCCTATTGCATCAATATAAGTAGGTGAGTTCACGGAAAGATCTACCTTAGGTATATCCTGATGCATGTGTAGTGAACTAAGCCTCAGGTCAAAATCTGGCCTTGAGGGTCTTCCTGGAACAAGAACTGTATTTCATTGATTTGAGTCCAGAAACACAAGATTAAGTTCATCCAGAGACTTTCTAAGTGTCCTGCACTGATCAATTGAAAGAACACTCTCTTTTTCTATTATCATTACTATTTTACAAATGTTTTGATAAATCAAAGTGTGTTTAGTTCAAACCATTTTAAATGTTGAAGTGAACTACTCATTTTTAAATCAACTGTGAAACAGTATTAGCGATTTTTATCCTCATTCAAAGTAGAAATCAGGTTAATGATGCATTGTCTGATTTTCTGTCTTCAATGAGCAAATTGTGAAGTTGGTCAAAGGTCAAGTTTCGGTCAACTGCAAGTTTACTGAAAAAGAAATGTCATGTTTAACTTTTTCAGGCAGATATGAGAGAGTTGACTCCACGAAGTCTGGAATCTTCATAATATCTTCTGTCTGTTCTTAAACAATCTAATCTTTTTCCCTTGACTTTTAATAACCTCTTACATCACAAAAACACACCTCTGTCTGGTCGATTTGACCAATCAGGAACCTCCCAAATGAACCGGAAATAGAACTATTTAAATGTCGGTACTTCCTAGTTCAAACCAGCTCCAGTCGAGTTGCGGTCGAGTGCAGTCGAGTTCAGTTCGGAGAGCAAGCCGAGCTGAGAAGTGCTGGAGAGAACAGGAGTTCAGACATGATCCGGAGCTCTTCCGAGTCTTGTGGGAATTATGCAATCTTCCACATCTGAGTGGAACTTCTGAAGGACTCCACTCATGTGAGTCCACTCGTGAGGTGAACTGTTGTTGATGAAGTCCCGCCACCACTCCGGACGGTTCTCTGCCATCCTACGGAGACGCTGGACCGGTAGCGTTAACTGGAACTCCGTATCCGCTGATTCATCGTCAGAGAGGTAATGAGTCGAGTTTACTACCGAGCGTACCGAGGAAAGCTGGGTTCGAATGGAGGGTGCCGTTCTGTTCAACACTTTCCCTCACACACCATCTCCCTCCCTCTAAACTTCATCTTTCCATCTTTCAACTCTTCTATCTGCTAGAAATCATTCCAGATATTTTCAGAAATGTCTGTTGTGAAGCAAAGGAAAATCATGGCCGGATGGTTTTCCTGTTTGTAAAGCTGATTAATAAGCTGTTGTTGTTTTCAATTTTGCCAAATTAATGTAAATGTTTGATGTTAAATTTTGATTCTGAAAATAAATGACCACATTCATTTGATGGGTCAAAGAAAATTAACGTCTCACGTTACATTTAATTAAATTCAATGCACGATATTATTCAGTCCAGAAAAATGAATGAATCCGTTTAATTTATGAATATATCACAGTATATGTTCATCTACACATGCTCAATAATCCAGGTAGAAAAATCCAAAAAATTTCAATCTGGTCTTCTGGACATTCAAAAAAACAAAAAACAAAACAAAGCAAAAAAATGTAGATATGTTTCGTCTTTCATCAGTAAGACTTCCTCAGTCTGAGGTGCTGTATTCAGCTCAGTCTCTTAAATA